AACCGCTGTTGCTCAGAGCTCAAACAATTGAGCGAGCTCTTAACCAACTGAGCCACTCGGCCGGCCCCCAGTCTCATATTTTGAGATTTCAGCAGCATAAAATTTTTTAAAATGCAAACTTGAAGTTCACTAAAGAGACATTTTGATGTAGCTTCCTCTCGGATGTCTATAAAATTTATAGAATTAGGATATCACTATTGCAACTCTAAATATAGACAAAAATGTCTTCTCAACAGACTTCTCAACAACTTTATTTGTAGCCATTGTTCCAGGGGACTAACTGTTAGTTTGACTTATCAGACAGCCAGAACAGCTGCCACATGTCCCTGGCCCTTTGACTCTGAAGCTGCAATGACTCCGTGTTACTCTTAGAGCACCTTTGCTTCCAATCAGGAAACAAACCTTTCCACATAACCTCCTGCTGTGTCCTACTGAGCATATTTCCAGCAAGAACATCAGAGAAGGTGCGTCCCTTCTGGTCCTCAGAAAATGATGTCAGCACGTGGGCACAGGTGAGAAACTCGCCCCCGACGTGCAGGGCTGTGGTGGGCCAGAGGGCCTGGACAGCATGAGTTAGTGTTGGGTGGCCGGGCAGCACGGGGAGAAACAGAGTTCCGGGAGGTGACAGTCATTAACATTTTATAGCAAACTACAGTTTACAAAGCCCTGTGTAATCTCACTGAATCCTAAGAACCCTGGAATGAAATCTATTATTGCCTCTATTTCATGAGTGGTGAGATGGAGGATCAGACATGTTAAGAGACTTGTGCGGGATCGCTTTCAGTGCACGGCAGAGCTAGGGCAGGTCCCCAAAGGACAGTAGTACAAAGCAGACCAAAGCAAGTGACATAAGGGAAAGACAGGCTAAGTGCTAAGGAATCCTCACTAAAGACAGAACTGAGCTGTGCCTTGAAGGAAAGTAGGATTTTGACAGGGCAAGAAAAAAAAGGAAAGTCTTTATAAAAAGGAACAAACTCAACGAAGGTACAGAGGGTGGGGAGGAATATTTATCAGTTGTCCAGTTTGGCAGGCATGTGTACATGGAGATAAAGAATTAAGAATCTAAAACTAGAAAAGTCAATTAGGATCAAAGTTTGGAAATATTTGAGTGTCCAGCTAAGGATTGGATTATGGATTTCATTTTGGTAGGTATTAGTACTGCCTATTCCAATGTTTCCATATGTACACTTGGAAGAAGATTATTAAATTAAACTGTGACAAGTTTGTAAACCTGGGCAACTTTTACTTGTTGGTTGGTTTCTTCTTTTGGCCCCATCAGATACTCATCAAACCAACTATTTCTAGTGGTGAGGTGCTTTTGTAATCTTCTCGGTGCTGTTGAAGGAAATTCTGATATCTTTGCTAATTCATAATTCCCAGGGTGACCTTTTCTATAAATGTGGAAGAGTTTGTGTAAGATGAGAATTATTCTTTAACTACTTGGTAGAACTTAAGAAAGAGAGAGAGAGAGAGAGAGAGAGAGAGAGAGAGAGAGAGAGAGAGAGGAGAAATTGAGTTAGTAGAGTTAGTTCAGGGAAAAGAACATTTTTGAAGAGGAATGTTGGCTGCAGGAAGAACCAATGGACTGTCCCTGAAGAATAAGTGAGAAAGTCATCAGAAGTACTCATAGAAAATAGGGGCCCTTATCAGAAGGGAAAACTAGCATTTCTATCCCTGAGTTATCAGCTTCTGCTAAGCTGACATGGAACCCGAGTGGAGCATGGGAGTAAAAAAAATATCTCAGGAAAATCAAAGCCATGTGTCCTGGAGAGAGGTGAGGTGTAAAAGCAGTGACTGACCCCCTAGTCCACACAGCCTGAAGGCAGAAGCCTGGCTGGACCTTTCTCTAATGGCAAGGCTAGAGGCAGGGCAGCTGGAGAACAAAAAACAGTGAAGGAGCCATGCCGCACAATTAAAAGAACAGGCATGAGTCACTTTGAAAGAACCTTACTCATAAGGTAAGCGCTCTCAAACAGAAAGAGGCTGGAAGCATCTCACAAGGGCAGAAGCTGAGTGGAATCTATAGAAGTCTGACAAGGTGCATCAGCGTTGTCAGGAATTGCAGGACAGAGGTACCCGTGGAGAGTTGAAAGACACTGCAAGATCCAAAAGACTGTCTGCCATGACAGAGGACATTTCGACAGATGAGAGAAACTACAAATAGCAGCAGACAAGAAAGCCCCTTTTTTGGTCTTCTGGTCACTGCCCCGTGTCATCTTGGAATAGCTGAAAACAGCGAAGTGAAGCCACAAGGTGAAGGAGGAGAGGAAGGACTAGGACATAACAGTAAACACACCTCCCCGACTCCACTTTCCAAGCTTGGGTCACCCCTGAGCTATGGAGGCAGAACAGAAGCTAGGACTTAGGCGAGAGATGGGCATTTTGATTCTGATTCAACGGGATCTCTAAATGCCTGAAAAATGATAATATTTCACCAAGACCTGAAATGATCAAAGAGCTAAGGAATTTGCCCAAGATATCGTCAGGAATGAGAAAGAGCCCACAGAACATGTCTAAAGAGCAATCATAGGGGAAAAAAATCAAGTTACTTCCTCAGGGCCTCCTACCAAGCCCAGCCCGTTCAATAAATCATTACAAATCCTTACATCTTTCGTTTGAGCTTTGATAATATGCCAACTTGTGCTTTTCCTGAAACAATCTTTGCTCATGCTAAAAATATTTTCCTGTGATGTTTCATACCAGCCATTCTTACATGTTTTGAAGAGATATATCTTTACTCAAAATATTGCTTGTTTTAGAAATCTACAGATTCCCTAAATCAGATGGTGGATCATTGCACTCCAAGTGTTTCTGCCTCGTGAATCAGCCAGTCTGCTTTCTTTTTCATCAGATAGAATGGGCCTGGTTTCAGTCAATGCCACTGCTGTTGAGCAGTAGTAAATACAGATTTTAGTAATTCCTCTGGGGGTCCTCTTTATAGGAAACAAGGTCCTAAAAGTGATGATCATGACTGAAGCTTGTGTAATTTGGAAGTCACCTGAGTTATTAGCTATTACTCCTCTGAGGAAACCATCCCTTCTGAAACTGTCCCTCATCTGACCAGCCCTGAGGCTGTTGGCCAGAACCCAGTGAGATCAGTTGTCCACGAAGAGAAGTGTTAGTGTTTTCTTCTTCATTAACCTAAATTGATTAGTAAAGCCTCCTGAAGATGATTCACAGTCAGATGACTTTGTATGTCACTGGAAAACCTGGACTTTTTCCAAATTCTACCTCAAAGTGAGCAACAGTGGAAATGTTCTGCAGCTCATGTAGTGAGCACAGCTTTGACTTACTGAATTAGAATTCTTTGTTCAGTTTTTATGAAAATATGGTCCAAATAACACTGATGTCAGAAACCCCCAGGTACTTATTAAAAATATACTTCCTAGATCCCATCTCAGCTTTAATCGATCAGACCCTCTAAGAGTGAGGTACAGGACTTTGCAGTCATGGTAACTACAACAATGCTTCTAACCTCTCCCATTCTGAACTGTGATAAGTCAAAATGAAAGTAGTTACTTAAAAATCAGCCAATGCCAACACCTCTTGGATAAACACCCATCAGTTGCCTATGAATCTAAAAATGAAAGACAGCAGTTACTATAGGCCTGGTCCAAAGGGAGAAAAGATTAAATAACTAGGGCCAGCTGAGTGGCGCATTGGTTAAGAGCTGGCTTGGGATGCCAGAGGGCCCCAGTTCGGATCCCACATACGACGGCCAGTGACACTGCCCTCCACAGCTAAGATGCTGAACAACAGCTCAACCTGGAGCTGGGCTGCCGTGAGTCGCCCACAATGGCGTAGGCTGCAACACCTGCTGCAGTGGGTTGCCATGGGCTACTGTGTGTAGCCAGCAGCCAGCGTGAGCGGCCAGCAGCTGCTGTAAGTAGCCGTCCAATGACCAGCGGCAGATCTGCCTCACCGGGAAGGGAACAACGATGGCGCCAACTTGGGCCAGTGAAGTAACGTCCTCCACACTAGACTGAAGACCAAAACGACAGCAACTTCTCTGTTCCCCTTCCCCCAATTCCCCAATTTAAAAAAAAATGAAATAACTAGATTAATGACTGAAGGCATGTGGTGAACCAGCACACACTCTAAGTACTATCATGTTATAAAATGAGGAAGAAAGAAGGAATATCGATTCCATAGAGATAAAAGCTGCCAAATGTTCAGAACTTTCTCCCTCTCATAATCCCCATCTGGTCAGCTATACACAGAAGCAGCAAGTAATATCTGATGGATATAGTAAGTTGGTGTAATGATTCTATTTCAATTCATATTAAAATGAATCTTCTCATGCTGAACATGAAGTAAAACCCAAGAGCTAGCAATTTCTGAAGAGATGTGGACCTAAATTATTTTCAAATAAGCTGACGTTTATTTCCATTTATACAATTTCTTAAAATCTACCTTGATTACGCTCTATATTTTAATCAGAAATACAGAAACTGAAGAACAAGTCATACAGTGATGCCTTTTATCTTCCACTATTTGAATCATCTTATTGAAAGCTATTGATGTAAAACATTCCCAAGAAGCTCACATTCTTGAGATAAGAATAAGACATTCTTAGAATCGATACATCTGATGCCTCTCTAGAATGCAGTCTAGAGTGGGAGATCTGTGTCACACGAGCCAAAAGGAACATGGGTACAAGAAGTCATAGTAGGCTTTTCAATAATTGGCCCCATTTTTCAATTATTGGCCCCATTACAAAAAAGCCTACCATTAGTGGGATTAGAACAGAGGTGCCAAGGTTCGATGTGTATTCAGCTTGGACCAACTCTTGGAACATTACGTAAGTTCTTAAATGACAAAATTGCGAGTTTACTGCATTTCTGAACAATGCTGTTTTCTGAAACTCAAGTTTTTGTTTTGTTTTTAGCTTTGTCTATAAGTGATCCATCTTTCAGAAGCCATGAATTATCCTGGATGTCTTTTGCGTCCTTTCGTATTCGAAAAAAGTCACATATTCAATTGCAGTTTCGGCCTCTTTCTGCAGATGGCATCCTGTTTTATGTTGCACAACACTTAAAAGCACAGTCAGGTAAGTTGGCAAAATCTTTGTTTGCAGAGGAAAAAAAATCCTAATAAATTTGACACTTAAGGAAAGCATGAAAATTTTAAAATATTAAAAATCTAAGCTCTACAGACTTAGATGAACCTAAAGATGATCATCAGATGAAAGGCATCTACTTATTTATTAGCAAGCAAGTGGTGTAATCAAGTGGTGAAGTATGTTTCATTTATTTTTTGGGGGGGGTATTTTTTTAAATTATTGGGGTGACAATTGTTAGTAAAACTACATAGGTTTCAAGTGTACAACGTTTCAGTTATTTAAGGTTGCATAAAATACAGGTGACTGTCCCATACTTAGTATCTTCTCTAAGAGCTACATATGATGTAAATATTAGCGGAGCCTTCCAGCTCATCCTCTGCTAAGAGGAGCGATTAGTAAAAAATGCCCAAACACTTAATACACAATGTCAAAAATCACAAATTTAGATTTTCAGCAGTCAATTATGTTTTCATATGTGCAAAACCAAAGTCTTCATTAACAAGATTTCTGTGTCTCTTTAGAGGTAAATAATTTGAATAATCTCAAATAGTGTACAATTTAAAACAAAATGATAATTTGGAAAGTATCCTAGTTGACATTAGAGCTCTGATTTGGGGAAGAGACTTTAAAAAGATGAGACTTCACCAGTTTACCTGCTTCTGCTAAATATTCAATACCTTAAAATGAGTTTTTTGACACAAAAATGATCAACAGTATGTTAAGCACAAATTAATCAGATAACTGAAATCATCTTGAGTTATAATTCTCCCAGAAAAATGTGTATTTTTAAAAAGTCTAGTCATCTACAATGTAAAGTTAAAACCATATTGAAATGACTAAACAATAAAAGGTAAAATAAGCAAATATTACCTTTGCTTTCCTTTTCTAGAGAAAAACAGTGTATAAAATTTCCCTAATAAGCTGTGTGCATCGTCTCTCCCAAATGTTTTCTTTGATCTGTGATGCTTGGCGGGGGCATCAGGTGACCGGTGGAGGCAATGGCAGCAGAGGAGGGAGGGAGGGCCCTCGGCATGGTGAAACAGCCAACAGGAATTCACTTACCATCTTCATTCATGAGCTCAGTTTCTTGTAAGGATTGTTCACTAGTGACGGACTGCTAACATTTATTTACATTTCCCTAATAACAATCAGTATTCATTACGCATGACTACAGCACCATATCCTAAACAACTAAAAGGCCTGTGTGACAAAAAGCTGCTAATACAGCTTCAAGAGCAATTTTAGCTTCCAGGGCCACAGAGGGAGAGAAAACCCCTTTTTTGTCAATTCTTAAGACTGTACCAGCAAAGCTCTGTTAAAATAAGCTTCCTTGGCAGAAGATATTCTCCTTTCTCCTTCTTTTGATTGGCCACTTGACCAGTGATAGTAGAGATCACAGCTTCAACTTCCCTAATCATTTTTTAGATACTTTTTATTCCAAGGTTGCTCTTTACTGCTAGATTGTTTGCTATAGGACACTATAACACAAGTAAAAGAAACTTCTTCCCAGGGCTGGCTGAGTGGCTCAGTTGGTTAAGAGCTGCCTCAAAAGTTTGAGCTCTGAGCAACAGCGATTCGAGTTCCTGCCTGAGCTGAGCAGCCGCTGAGCTGCCAACAGGTGGCAGGATGGCTCAGCTAAAAAAAAAAACCAACAACGTCTTTCCTAATCCAGTGAAAGAGATTCGATTGGTGTCCACTTGCAGGCCACAAAGTATCTTCAGAGCACTACAAATTTTTAAAACTTAACATCAATTATGTTCATTGTTCCAATTTATTTTGGTATAAACAATTTAAATGACTCAATCTGTATCTAATTTTTTCTTATATAACAAGAGTTTGTAATGCTGCTTCTCTTTCCTTAGACTAAAAATGCTGTTCCTTGTAGAAAATGTGGGAATAAACTGCATTTCTTCCTTTTGGAGGAAATTAAAAGAAAAAAAAATTTACATAGAAAAAGATTTTATTTTTTTGCTTTTTGCCTAAAACTAGTATTTGAAAATACTGAGTCATCTCACCCCACAACTATGCAAAAGTATTTCTTAATTCAACACTTATTTCTTGAGCATCTAGTTATGTGCCAGGCACTGTGCTAGGTGCTGAGGTAAACCACTGGGCCAGATCAGATACAGACCCTGTTCTTAAGAGGCTTACAAGATAGTGAATGAGGCAGCTATTAATCATCCTACAATGGTCTGGTGTGACCACAAGAGGGAGTAGAAGGAAAGATATTTGCAGAAGGGAGGTGAGACAGCTTGGCACTACAGGAGGAACAGGAAAGAGGAGTTGCTCGTTTCAAGAAATCTCCCAGGTAAGGGCTGGCCGAGTGGCACGGTGGTTAAGAACTGGCTTGGAACGCCAGAGGGCCCCGGTTCGGATCCCACATATGAGGGCCAGTGACACTGCCCTCTACAGCTAAGATGCTGAACAACAGCTCAACCTGGAGCTGGGCTGCCATGAGTCGCTGGCGATGGCATAGGCTGCAACACCTGCTGCAGTGGGTTGCCATGGGCTACTGTGTGTAGCCAGCAGCCAGCGTGAGCGGCCAGCAGCCAGCGTGAGTGGCCATCCAGAAGCCGGCGAATGATCTGCCTCGCCCGGGAAGAGCAATGATGGTGCCAACTTGGGCCAGTGAAGCAACATCCTCCACAACTAGACTGAAGAACAAAACGACAGCAACTTGTCTGTTCCCCTTCCCCCAATTCCCCAGCACTGTTCCCATCCCCCAATTCCCCAATAAAAATCTTTAAAAAAAAAGAAATCTCCCAGGTAAGAAAAGGGAAGACATTTTCATTGGCTGTGAAACGTTAGGGGAGGGAAAATGCTGTTTTGAGGAAGATTCCTGCAGGATTTGTTATGTAAACCACTTTTGCTACCTTCTTGAAGCAATCTTACATTGAAGGACTACATTTTTTCCCAAGCATGTAGTTGTATTTATTTTTCCTCTGAATGCCTCATTGCAACCTCATACACATGCTGTGTCGTTATTTGTTCAGGTTTTTTCACACATGACTATATAATTGAGATACATACTGGGGAGAAAAACATGGTGCTATTAAAGCACTAATAGAAAAACTCGGGGGAATCAAGAAAGGCTTCTTTGAGGAAGTGGCATTTGATCTGAGACCTCAAAGGTGGATAGGAGTTGCCTACATGAGGTGGACTGGGGTAGAGGAGTGCTCCAGAAAAAGCAAACAACATGCACCAAGGTTCTGAAACAGGAGGATGAAACTCTAACAAGGTCAGTGTCGCTGGAGTAGGGCGGAGAGAATACACTCTGGGAAAGCTGGGGAGAGGGGCCGGGAACCTACGGAGCCTTTATAAAGACTTTTAAGTTCTCATCCCAACAGTAAATACCATTAAGGGTAGTATAACGATGACACTTCCATTTGAAAAGATCACTTTAGCTTCAGTGTAGATTAGAAAAGCAATTGGAAAGGAAGAAAGACTGGGTAAGTTCTAACAATAGATCAAGCTAGAGATGATCGTAAATTTAACTGGTGGCAGAAAAATGCCATCAGGATGTTTACAATGAACCAAAATTTTAATAAATCTGTTTGACAAGAGACATATCTTTGATAGATTGTGTGGATCAACGAAGGGATGGAATTAAGGGTCACACCTAAATTTTTGGGTGGAAGAACTAGGCGGACTAGGGAGTGGCTCACTGAGTTTGGGAAGACTGAAAGAGGCCAGGTGTAGAGGAAGTTCACAAACTGAGATATAAACTTGGGAGCCTGAGGTGCCTTTAAAAACACCCAAGCAGAGATCTCAACGAGGGGTCTGTGTACTTGTAGACAGAGCTTGATACCAAATTTTGGAGGGTGTAAATAAAATGTTTTCATAGCACCGCTCACTGCTCTTATTTCTCTTGCTTACCTCCCAATCTGTCAAAAACAGAATCTGTGGCTTGAAGTAAAACACACAATGTTAGTTATTTTTACACATTCATCCTTAACTAAAATCTTTAAAGGAAAACCACTTTAACTTTGTACCACAATACATTCATTCAGTGGGACTTGTGGCCAATTCAGTAACAAAATAATACAGAATATGTGAGTGAATGTATCCATGTATATTTTGATCTGTAAATGGAAAAGCTCTCTAACATAATTGTGACCAAGACTTACCTTCTTTTCCAAAACCAAAATTTATTCAAATGGCCACAAAGAGCAGGTTTTAATGAAGTAACATTTTACTAATTAAACTGGCTGTTTTCTTGATCTCAACAGGTGATTTTTTATGTATCTCTTTAGTCAATGGTTCCATTCAACTTCGCTACAACCTTGGTGACGAAACTATTATTCTAGAAGCTCCCCAAAAAGTAACTATTAATGGAAGCACTTGGCATGTGATTAAAGCAGGATGAGCTGGTGCAGAAGGCTACCTGGATGTGGATGGAATAAATGTGACAGAAAAAGCCAACGTCAAAATGAGCTCCCTGGACACAAATACTGACTTCTATCTTGGAGGAGTGTCATCCTTACATCTTGTAAATCCCATGGCAATAGCAAATGAACCTGTAGGTTTTCAAGGTTGTATCCGAGAAGTTATTATCAATCATCAAGAATTACAATTAACTGAATTAGGAGCAAAAGGTGGCTCCAATGTAGGTGACTGTGATGGGACACCCTGTGGGTACAATGTGTGCAGAAATAGGGGTGAATGTGTACTAAGTGGCACAACTTTCGCTTGCAGATGTTTGCCACATTGGACTGGAAATACATGTGACCAGTCTGTGTACTGTCTGAATCATCGTTGTCTCCACCCATCTCTCTGTATACCTGACCGACCACTCTCTTACCGTTGTTTGTGTACTTTGGGTTGGGTGGGAAGGTATTGTGAAAACAAAACTTCATTTTCAACTGCAAAATTTATCGGCAGTTCTTACATTAAGCACATTGATCCAAAATACAGAATAAGAAACCTTCAGTTCACTACTGTATCATTAAATTTCAGTACGACAGAAAGAGAAGGCTTACTTGTGTGGGTAGGAAAAGCTCAAAATGTAGAAAATGATTTTCTGGCAATTGGTCTTCATAATCAGACCTTGAAAATAGCAGTTAACTTAGGAGAAAGCGTTTCTGTACATATGATTTATAGCAATGACACACTCTGTTGTAATAAATGGCACCATATACTTATAATTCAAAATCAGACTCTTATTAAGGCCTACCTAGATGACAATCTAATTCTCTCTGAGGATATTGATCCACACAAAAAATTTGTTGCTCTAAACTATGAGGGTGTCAGTTATCTAGGGGGCTTTGAATATGGTCGAAAGGTAAATATTGCTACTCAAGAGATTTTTAAAAGAAACTTTGTTGGGAAAATTAAGGATGTATATTTTCAGGATTCAAACAAAGTCGAGTTAATTAAATCAGAAGGATACAATGTTTATAATGGAGATGAACAAAATTAGGTTACACAAACTAGTACTGGCGATTTTAATATACAAAATATGTATGTAAATAGTTATTTTGGTAGTTCTTTGGCATGTTGTTTACTGAAAATCAGCTGTTTACTATTACCTGAAATAATCTAAATGTTAACATTTTTATAAGCTTATAAATATAGCTAAAGAAAGATTGTTTTTCCTACGTTCAGTTTATCTGTAAATATGCTGACTACTAAGTTTCACTCCATTGGTTCATTTAGTGTTTATTCATCTGTGAATTGTTTTTAAATAAAATTTAGGTGGGAATGAATTAGTGACACAAAGGGGAAAAAAAGCAAAGGTTATTAACAGAAGGAAAAATTAAAACTGTATAAGGAAATATAACCATATTCTATTACATGGGTCAGCTATAACTATTTACATGATTGCAATGTGAAATCTGAATATGGACCTAAACCAAAATTTATTGTGTGAATGTGGAAGGTGGAAGGTCAGGGGAGCGTTCCCTTGTAAGAGTTAAATCCTCATCTTCCGCAGCAAGTCATCAAGATGTTACACTTTTTGTAACTGTTAATAGCAAGTATATACATATCATTTACAAGTGTGAAGGTAAATATCCCAAGAAATGTCTAAAAGAATTGGAACTAGTTACCTCTGGAGAGAAAAATAGTGCAGATACTGTTTTTTTGTTTATAAACTTGATAGAATTACTTCACTTTTCAAAGCATGTACCTATCAAACTGGTAAAATTTTAAAATTAGACTAACATCTGTGTTAACTTTTCAAGTCTACAGGTCTCAAATTTCGGTATAAAACAGGTTCTAAATAATGCCATTGGAAATTATTGTCCTGATATCTGTACCACTAAAAGCATAAATTAAGAAAGTCCATTTTGTCCAAACACCAATTACTGACAGTACTGTGAATGGCATTTTCACCCCCACCCCCATTTCTCCATTGCACTTTGGGAGTTACTGATGTTGCTGTTACTTAGCATTTTAAGTCTGATTATGTATGACAACTTTGTCACCAAGAAAGCAAATTACAACACGACTGATACAAAGCACTAATAAGCAGGACTATGGAGAAAAAAAACCTTGGTAATAATCGGCATACAATGTTTAAAAGGAAAAATGTGTTAAGTATCTATTAAATGGAGAAGGGACTTGACAAAAGGACAAGTGCACCGTTCCTTTCTCCACGCTATTAAGCAGGATCTGCCTGGGCAGTTTCCTGTCCATACAAAGAAAATAGGTGGACAATTTACCTTCATCATCTGAAGACCTTTACAGGGTTTTTTTTTTTTTTTTTTTGGCCTTGTTACTGTTGCTACTCCATCACAATCAGAAAACTATAGACATCCTTACAAGGCAGCAGAATCAAAGAATTTTGGCACCATTAGATAGGACACAAATTGCTCTCAGCATACTATTCCTATTAACATTCAAATGTGTGTGAGCAAAACATAATGTAAGGTAGGACTGCAGAATGCCTATACATTGATTCAAGGATTTGTGGGGGTTTGTTTTCATTTTTTTAGAGAAACTACAACTCTGGAAGACAACTGTCCAGTATTTCCTGAAAAATTTCGACCTAAATTTGTTCTGGTCCATACCATCTGATTTAGCTTTAGAGACATTGAGATCATAAGGGTTACTGCTCTAAAAACATTCATTTTGATAGCTAATAATCAAATCTAACTTTTAAAAGCAAGAAAGCTGTCTATGAAAGGTTACAAAATCTTCAAGGAAACGTTGCTGGAACTGCACCCCATCACACTAGGTCCACATGCTCTCTCATAATAGAGCACCTTTCTTTAAAGCAGTGCTTCCCAATGTAGTCCAGGGGTCTCTTCAGGAGATCCAGAGTACTTCCTTTCCCAGCAACACCTCCGTGTGAAGCCAGATTTTCTTCATCTAGTTCAAACAAAATGACATCTTGCAAAACATTGAATGCAGAGGCAGATAAGAGAACCCAGCTGTCTTAGGTCAGACATGGGAAATGTGCAAAAATGAAAACAATGGTATTCTTCTTGCTACACCGATTTAGTTTGGAAGGTATCTTTCATAAAAAAAATATTAACACAATGGTATTGTCAAATTAAATATTTTTAAAATTTGTAACATTTTAATTTCTAATATGCTAAATGATATAATCCATAAAAACGAAAGCTCTTTAATGGTTCTCTACTTTTTAAAATGTAAAGGGGCCCTGAAACCAAAGTTTGAGAATTGTTGCTTTAAAGCTGCTTCTTAAAGCTGCAAATTTACATTGACATGCGATCACATTTCTTCTAAACTACACACACTGCAAGCTCCCAGAGTTGGAGGCTAGTGTTATTGCTCACTATTTAATTCCAAGAACCTAGCAAACGCTTGCAGAATAGGCACAAAATAAATAAGAACTGAAAACTACTACCAAGAGATGCTCCTGAACATCAAAATGACTTGAAAATTTTTTCACCTTAAAATCCAAAATTTCATGGGGTAAAAAATTATCAACGTTTATTTTTGCTATCCTTGTGATGATGGTGATTTCCTATGTGATCTGCTTTTCCAGCACAAAACAATTGATACAGAAAGACCTTTAAGATAATTTTACTATAAATATTATGCTTCTGAAAGTTGAATGTGAACATAAGAACATTTAAAAAAATTAAGTCAAAATATCTAAGCTGGGGATGGCAATATTTATCTTTTAAAGAATAAATAACTGGAAAAAATAATAAAGGCATTTAGCAATATTAGGAGTTATGTTGGATTCACTGCCTTTTCTTTAAGTACGTATGCTGGGGTTTCCTCCAATGACTTTGTTCTGTATCTGTAAGATGAACAGTGGATGTATGTTTTCAAAACGCTTTTAACTATTGACCTAATAACTGTTTTTCAACCCATCCATTCATGTACCCTCTTGCTCTACACATGAATTACCAAAATTCTTTATAAAACTGGAATCAAAGAATCAAGGTGTTGGGCACCTTTCTAAAAGGAGTAACCAATTTTATTCATGATTTGCTTTGGGAGACAAAAGTCAAGAGTTGATTATGTATATTGCCCTTTGTAGTCTTTAGTCAATGGTAATCTGACAGGATGTTTTAGAGGGATCTGAGTGGATGGGAATAGTGCAGAGGGTATATTCAAATGTTAAAATTAAGTAAACGAATTTGCTTTCAAAAGACCTGGTTCATTAGCAAGCTCTTATAATGCATTTAAACTTGATTCATAGCCTTCATTAAAAACACAGCTACCATATTAAAAACTAAGAACAGCTGAGTGTAAATAAGTACGTTTATACTCATGTTAATATCCAAGTGGTTTGCCACTTGATTTTCTTCTGTATTGATATCTTTCTTAACTTTTGAACATATTTACTATAGCTCTAGATGTTTTAATAATTCCAAAATGTTAAGATTTATTAGTTCAGCCACAACTAAGCTACAATTAACAAGTCAAGAACTGTGGTAAGTAGGATGGCCCCCAAAGTTGCCCATGTTCCAATCCCTGTTAAATACGTAAATATAAACTGTAATATGTTAGGTTACATGGCAAAGGGGAAGTAAGGTCACAGAAGGAATTCAGGTGCTAATCAGTTGACATTAAAATAGAAAGAATATCTTGGGTTATCTGGGGGGGCCTAAGTAATCACAAGGGTTCTTCAAAATGGAAGAGGAAGGGTCAGAGATGGCAACAGGAGACTTGGCCCTGAAGGGGACCAAAGTTTTGCCACCATGAAGCTGGCCTTTTGGGAATACCAATTTTAAGCTTTTAATTATTAAGAAACAAAACACTCAGAAAGAACTTTTGACCCTCCCCCCTCTTTCCTGCCCAAGAGTCAGACAAAAAACCTGCTTCAGGAAGAAAATCAGAAATGTTCGCCTTAGCCTGAAGAGCCTAATTTGAATTAAGTGTGCTAACAGGAGGGCTTCAGCCGGGGCCCTGTTAGCTAGATGCTCCGTGTCCCATCATTGCCCAGCAGGAATTGGCCTGCCACGTGTTCCACTCTTCCTCCGCTACCTGTAAGTCACCCGTTCTCATCTCTGCAATCTAAGACCCCATTCACCTTTTCTCCTTTGTCCAAAATGTCACATATACCCAATGCTGCCTCTTTGGAATTTTCATGCTTATGTGAATTCCCCATGTGCATGTATTAAAATTTTGATTTTCTCCTGTTCACCTGTCTCTCTTAATTTGATTGGCCCAGCTACAAGTATTTAGAAGGTGGGAAAAAAAGGTATTTTTTTTTTTAGCCCCAACAACCCCGAGTAGGTTTTGAAGACGTTGGAAGGGGCCACGAGGCAGGAAAAGTGAGTGGCCTCTAGAAACTGGAAAAGGCAAGGACACCAATTGTCCCCTAAAGCCTCCAGAAAAACAATGCACCCTTCTGACACCTTAATCTCAACCCACTGAGATCCACATCAGAATGCTGACCTACAGAAGTGTAAGATAATAAACTTGCGTGATTTTAAGCCACTATGTTTGTGATGTGTCACAGCAGCAACAGACAATAAAAGAGGAATGGGGAATTAGAACTGGAAATGAATATGAACTTTGCAAATCTGTACAAGAGAACCCACAGGTCTTTGGGTGTGTCATCCTGCTCACTTTGAGAAGTTGGGCGGTTTTGTAGTTTTAGATGGGTGGGTGGAATGGGGAGAAAAAGGGCTGTGGAATGTATGTATCATAATCAGGCTTTTGTCCCCCTTTCCTGTTCTCAATTCTCAGAGCACAACTGCCACTTCGGAGATAAAGAGAACTTAACTGTTAACAGAGTTCCAGCTCTGACAATGGCAGTCTACCTGGGGCAAGTTGGCCGACTTTTCTCAGTGTCCTCAGCTCTAGGATAAGTCTTCGCCTTTCTGGTTGACCAAGCTTATATAAAGCGCTTGCCACGACACAAGGTTTGCCACACAGAGGGTTGGTGGAGGCCTTCTTATTGGTGCAGGAATTACAAGGGTGGACTTTACAGGTACTGAGACACCGTGGTATGTTTTACTTAATAGAGGTATGTATACACTGGTTCTAAATTTTAAAAAAGCATCAAACTTTTTATAGAGCTAGTTTTCCTTAAAACAGAACCAAAGATGAACTTCATATAACTCACTAGTTTGTATAAGGCTGGCTGTAGGTGAGACTTTAAGACTGAGAATGGCTTTGGATCTACTACTCATTGAAAACTTTTCTCCTTTTTCCTTTACTTACAAGTTAAACCCTTTAAACAGTCACTATGCCCGTATTTTTTCCCTACTGGTCACAATATTTCCGTCAACCAGGGGTTAAGAGACCTGGTTCTAATACTTACTAGCCCTGTAATCCCAAGAGATAGTTATCACTAATACGGGCCTATATGGGGTGTATCAAAGAGTCAATGATATATGAAGAATTTTAAAGTAAGCATCACAATATATATAAGAAACTACTGGCTAAGAGGCAATCAAAAACTGATTTAAAGGTTTCCTTCCACTGGTTAACCCATGCTTTACTTGTACCATGGAAAAGAAATCTGGTGTCTGGTCAACCCAACCAGATAAATCAGTGAAGGCAGACTTACTGACAACATACATACTTGAAATCAAAAAGCTAATTTCGAAGAATTTTAGTGGGGTATTTTTGGGGGGGGGGGCGGAGGGAGGAGGTTAAAATTCTGACAATTTCTTCAAAATAGTACAAAAGATGACCAACTGACCTTAAGTTTTGTTTGCAGGCTGACTTGTTTTCTAACAAGTTAGTTTCCAAAAGAAAAGTAAAACAAAATTAAACAAATTTTATTTAAATGTAAGTCCTCTGTTTTAGAAGTTTTATGATAAACTTCAAAGAATAAGGATGACTGAAA